CTTTGTTCAATACTGTATATATATATATCTGTGTCAGTGTAAACTACTTGTACCTGATAATGACAAAACCTTGTCGAAACATTGTACATTTGCTGGTATGTTAAACTTATATTAAAGTTTTTATTCATTACCCATTCAAGCCGTCTCCAAGCATTATTAGTCTCAAAGTGGGTTCCTCGTCATGGAATTATATTAACACGTTCCTTAGGAGCCAAGGGGTGTCTTTACACTGCAATTTGTTGAATATTAAAAGTAAATTCAATCCGGAAACTCGAGACAAGTTTTTGTTTGTTAATTGATAAATTTTTAAGTGAAATACAGAATCCCCAAGTCTCCATACTAGCTAGTGCTAAAGTCTATCCGCTGGGAGTAAATTCAATAAACACCAATAAAGCCACATTCTCAGCACCATTAATTAAGCAATTGCCAACCTTTTATGCTTCTGCTATCACCTTTTTATGTTTAGCTTTCAATTGAGATACGAACGATTTCACCTGCGATTCTGCAAGGAAGGTTGGAGCATCACGACAGTCAGCAGTAGGATGAGCAGACAGGAACACTTTGGAAGCAGCTACAGGCATAATATTGTACTTGGCCTGCTGCACACTATCTACCAAGGTGGTTCTAAACGGTTCCTGAATACCTCTGCGTGTCATTTGGAGACTTCCATGCTTCTTGAGCTTGGCCGTTAAGCTCGTGATGCGCTGACGGATTTCAGTCACCTTACCACTTCAAATCACTTTTAGCAGCCCCAACGCTAAAAAAAGGGGCAGGAAATCTCTTCTTTTTAGCCAATAAAAATGGCCAAAAAATTTCAGTTCAAATTAAGAAAAACCGGATTGGGTAGTTTTTTTTTCAACAAAAATGTCCCCCACTATTTCGTGAGGGGCCTGTTAAAAATGATTGAATTGAATCATCCCCTAAATATTAGCGTGTTCAGTATTTCAAAGTTGGACGAAATGCTGTTTAACTAACCTTAAACTGTGTAATTGCTCTAAATGTCTTATTTTTCAACATCTAACATGGTTTTATCAAAATCACTAAAGAGTAGTTTTTAATATATTTTTAGCAAACTTTTTAGATTGTAAAGTGTTCAACAAATGAGCTAGTTATTAAGTAGTAACAGTTTGTCTGAGAATTTAGCAAGATGAATATAAATTACGGAACACAAGTATGGCGTGGTCTGGGGGTTAGAACGTTCGATTCGCAATTGGAGGGGGGTCACGAGTTTGAATCCACTCTATGGTTGCCGATTAAGCTAGCCACCCAAGTGTGAAAAATATTGTCTTAGAATATTGGTAATAGCATGACGTATTTTAACCTGTTTTTTTAAATGTCTAGATAGTTATAAAAATATTCTGTGGCAAGTTATAAAAGCGAAACATATTTATCTTACTTTTGTGCACCTTTCAAAGTAGGAATAGTCAAGTACCGCTGGACCATGGCTTGATTAACTCCATAAACAGCCAACCATGTGAAGTAACCGCCGATTCCAAGGCTCCACACGGTGTGTCGTACAGTAGGATCAGGACTAAAACTGAACAAAACACGTTTATATACCCTTTAAAATACACTCACGCTTTGATGTATTGTATAGAACATTATAAAGAAATTTCAACTGATCTGTATATCAGATTATTAATTAATCTTTCAATTATCTATCAATCCACCTAGGATTTTTATGCTCTTATGAACAGAAATAGTTACTTCACTGGATAGTTGTTTGAGCTTTCCCATACAGTTTTTTTTTCAAAATTTCTAATATATGAAAATGGGTTCAAATACCACGAGAGTTTTTGAAATGCCTTCATGATCAGTTACGTATTGTTGCAATCAGCCGATGAGGAGGTTGGTTTCAAACGTTAAGGTATTACTAAAATGATGTGCTAAGATAATCATATTAACCCCTTCTCGCATGTCAGTTATCCAATTTCAACAAGTAAACAAGAATTTACAATTATGTCAGATTCCCAGCAGTAGCGTAATGAGGGTGTCTGGCGCTCGGGGACAAAATATAATTTGCCCCTTCCCAAACAACAACATAAAAAAACAACAACAACAAAAAAACAACTTCACTCGCGCTTTACACTCTTACTTTGTGACTTCTAACTGATTCAGTTGCTCCTTGCATGGCTGACAGACGTACGGAAGTTATGGTTTATTCTTTATGAATTTGAATCATCAGATGATTAATACCTCTGGTTTGTATAATAGTATGTTGCATAATATATTCTAGATTAATATAAAATGTACCAAAACTAATCAGGAGATTACTATTATCATAGGACGAATAAATATCAGATAGAATTATTTGGGCCGCCAAAAAATCCGTCGACAGCTTGAAAAATGCGGCCTCAAGTTTTCAGGTGTTCACAAAATTGCTAAATTTACTATTGTCTATGAGATGTCAGTGTATTTTAATCAATCTAACACTGAAAACTAAGGAATTTCCCTAGGCATGATATTTCTGATGAAATATCAATATTTGATGTCAAGCATAACAAAAACATTTTAATGAGCCTTAGTCGTACGGGAACAGCTAAATTCTGGGTCAACTGGTTGTTAATTTGGCGCGCCTCGAACCATGCGCCCGGGGGGAAGTGCTCCCCACTCACTACACCACTGATTAACTTCCCAGTGTTATTATAAATAATGAAATGGATTTTTACATATATTCTTCAAACTAATGATGAACTAGTTAATTTCTTAAAAAAAGCGACGCCTACGTTTGCATCCTAGCAAATAACAGAATTAAACTGAATGTATTTGCACCTATATTCTTGAAACTATTTGAAGTGCTATCTGAGCTCTGTCTACGGTGAGGTCTCGAACCCTGTATTCTGGCAATGTAAAGCTGAAAGCGTACTGCTTCACCACATGGGAACCATGTAAACTGAAACAGTCATAACCTAATCTAGATACTAATGGATGTAGAACTGATGAACTAGTTAATTACTTTAAAAAAAGTTTTGACAAGTGAGCGACACCTACAGTTGCTGGACTGTTCAGAGGGGTAATGTAATTGATTCTATTGTTCTGACATGCAGTTTCTTTCACTCTCACACACACAAAAGTCTATTGTATAGAACTAGAGTTATCAAACATAGCATACGATATTCTGTAGAGAAAACTACATTAAGAATGAAAGCTCAATACAGTACTCAGAATTGTGGGCAACCCTCTGTTTCGGAACATCTAATAAACATTACTATTATTTAAGGGTCACAGCGTATTTTGAGCTGGGTTTCTCAAGAATACACGTACAGGAGAGAGATCATTCAAAGTAGTAAAACCTGTTGTATTATTCCAATTGTTAAATTTATTGTCAGAGTACTTTGTATCTTTTTCATCAAGATTATCTAGGATATCCAAAATTAAATACGTTTTCTCTTCTAAGATTTTATTGGCACAATATTTCTTATCTTTTTATCTAAATTATCTAGGGTATCCAAAATTAAATACGTTTTCTCATCTAAGATTTTATTGGCACAATATTTCATACTTTTTAAATCTAAATTATCTAGGATATCCAAAATTAAATACGTTTTCTCTTGTAAGATTTTATTGGCACAATATTTCATATCTTTTAATCTGGATTATCTAGGATATCTAAAATTAAATACGTTTTCTCTTCTGCGATTAAATAGACAAAATAATGAAGTATTTTATATAATATATTTTTTTAAACGTCATGGACTACTAAATGTTTACTTGAAAAATTCAATTCTCTTCCCTTCTTCACTCGTTTTCCACACTTGCTGTATTCCACCTTCGTCATGAGCTCCTTTGATGACGATAACGATAATTGAACCAAACATCATGATAACTTGAAAGAAATCAGTCCAAACCACTGCTTTAATACCACCCTAGATGATCGAAATGCCATTAATTATGGTACAGACTGAATCATATTTACATTTTCTTAATTCTAAGATATTCCAAAAGAAAACAACAAAAAACAAACAAACAAAGGTATAGAACATTAAGACGCAGCAAATTCTTCCCTAAAAGTGTTGCCAGTTTTACTTTCATCGTTACCATGTGGCAACAGGGAATGTGACAATTGACACAGATAGCAGTTTACTGATCTTGGTAACTCTGACGCGGTTATTACTTTAACAAGAATGACAATATTATCAAACGCTCTGAGCTGTTGCAACTACAAAATAGTAATAAAATGACCATCATATCATGTACAGTAGGCGTGTTTCCGATTTTAATGGTTTTCACGCTGCTAACTTTGAGATGCATTGTAACGATATACACAATATATCAACAATGAAATTTCGATTTTGTTACAAAAAAAAACAACAACACTTAATTTGTACTTCAAACATTTGGACAAGCTACTCAAAATTACATTATTTAAACTTTTTATTTGATTTTTCTCTTAATTCAAGGATAGCAGTTAAAAATATACTTGTAAAGTTTTACAAGTAATAAAGTAGACTATAATTTCACAGTTCTGTTGCTTATTAAGCACCAAACACAACTGGAAATTCCAGAAATAATTTGGTAAAATATCTTACAATTGAAGTGTAGAAGGTACAGACCACGCCGATAGATATCACAGAGAGCCACATGTTCAGGCCAGTAACTAGGAACAGAAAAGTGAAAACATAATTATTATAATTATATGTAACAGCAAATGGTTTCATGGCTAGTGAAACATAATGCAAGTTGCCCAAACCTAAGAAAACAGAAAAAATCCAAATATTGTAATTTTAATAAGTTTTAATACACTATTATAACATTGCTTTGAAATCTCGATATTATTCTTTTATGGAGAACTCGATAAAAACAGTTGTGTTATTCGACCACATTTGGTAATATATATACAATAAAAATCGAATTACTCAAAAGTAAAGAAAAACATTATTCAGATCTGTCTTTTCTTACTTTTTTTTTTTAAATTCCGAGGATACATTCTCTATAGATCAGAACAGGTTTGATTTCTATACGAAACTACTTTTCGCAAAGCTTTTATAAAACAGCGAGATCTTCGGTACCTGGTACCAATGATTTTATCACCTGAGAGGAAATATTGCCCACAAAACATAGTGCGGAGCTTGGACGATTTTGGTTTCGCAAAAAAACCATTTTGTCACCTTCTGCACAACATATTTTTTAGATTATTTTATTTTATCAAGTTATTTTTCTACTCCTCATCCAACACAAAATCTTTCGATTTATAATTCTTGTTCTGATTATTATACTCTCTTCTGAACCAAATACCTTTGATAAATCAACATACAGGAAAAATAATCCATCATTTACTTCACACGATTTGACGATGAATATACGGGGCATAGTAAAATATCTAGGCCTAAAACCTAGTGGAAATTGTGTCAAGGTCTTTCCTCTTTACTTTCCTTTATACACAATTATAAAAAAAATAGCTTCTTTAAAAAATATTGTAATATTGTTACCTTATATTTATTCAAATTATGATTCGTTACTTTTTGTGTATTTACTTTTTTGTGGTGGTACACTTAATACCTTCATCTAAACACTATGGTTTGTTTTCTTTTAGGGCAAAGTCACAATAAACGAATGTATAAGTGCACAAAATTTTGTTAAAAACACCAAGCTTGAGCCTATTCATTTGAAATAAATTAATGGAATTTTTATAATGTAAAAGACTCTTTAAATAAGTTCTTTTTTTTTTGGTAGAAATAAAGCAATATTTTAAATAGTCAGGATGTTTTACTAAAACAAGTGTGTGTCTAGTTATAGCAAAGCCACATCGGTCTATTTGTTATGTCCATAGCGGAGAATCGATCCTCGTATCTTAGAGTTGTAAGTCCGTAAACTTAACACTGTCCCATCCGAGAACAAATACTATGGGGTAGTGTCCTATCTAATGAAAGACTATATTAACCCATTCACTGCTGATTCGCCGTATAAGGTACTGTCCGCTTCCGGTAGTTGTATGCTAGTGTGCTGCATACAGTGTACGGCTCGCAAAAATTCCGCGTGCGTTTGAAGCAGCCGCAGTCAAAAATCCTAAATAACCGGACAGGAATTTAGATGAGAATAAATCGACAATCGGCATTAAAAATGTCGGTCGCCGAGAAGTAAACATCTGGGGTGTTCGAAGATAAATTTATTTTCCTTCGCCCTACTGGAGGTAATTATTGTTTATCTAGAAGCTAAGTACATTAATTATAGACGTATTATCTCAATTATACTGATTCTGAAAGCTACAAGGAATTAATTCTGATTAGTGTTTTGACGTATTATTTCATTTTTTTGTTCTTTGTTTGTAATTAAGCACAAAGCTACACAATGGGCTATCTGTGCTCTGTCCACCACAGGTATCGAAACCCGCATTCTAGCGTTGTAAGTCCGCAGACATACCGCTGTGCCACTGGGGGGCGTATTATTTCAATTATACGGATTCCGAAAGTTACAAGGAGTTAATTCACAATGATTTGATTCAAGTAGCCCGCGGTAAGTCTGAAGGTTTATAACTATAAAAATCAGGGTTCAATACCCGATGTGAGCAGAGCCCAGATAGATTAATGTGTATCTCAGCGCTTAACAGTCAACAAACAAAAAAACATTTCAAATAATTTATTTTTATTAAATCGCTTTAAAAAACGCTAAGATTAATAAGACATCAAATGTTAAAGTTGAGAGCGCCGTCAGTACAGCTAATTTTGATTAAAGTATTTTCTGAAAATATTGTTTAGCCGTTGCTGTTTAGGTGGTCATACAGCAGATAGCCCATTGTGTGGCATTGCACTTAACAATACAACACTCTTGTTATGTAGGCTAACTCCAGTGGAGAAGCAGACTTCAGTTATCCCCGAAGAAAAGAAGTTTATGGAAGCTTTGCTCTGATGGCGCTTTACCAAGTTTCTAAATGAAAATATAAATAATAAAAAAACGAATAAGAAATGAAAAATCTTTCTGGTTAATTTAGGGTGTTCTAAAATTATTAATCAAACATAACACACCGTAAAAACAAAAACAACAACAACAAAAAAAAACATTAAAGTACGAACGTATAGTTGTAGCAAGTGACATCGAGTTTCTCTTCACAAGATATTAGTAGTATCAACAATAACATAGAGCGCGCAGAAGAAGAAGAACACGATCCTCTATGCCAGTAGTACTCAAAATGGATCATTCAGGACGTCTAAGGTCTTGGGGTTTAAGCTAGAAACTTTGTAAGCACCTTCTCTATGCCAAGTGTGATGTTTTTCTGTTGCCACGACTCCACCGTACTCACAACGATAGACACGTGGAGTTTTAATCATAATAAATAGACTTAGTATTCTGAAAATTGTTTAATCTTGACTTCTAAGTTCAAGGGGATCCAGTTCAATCTACACTTTGATCAACGTGTATTATTGGGTTAAACTAGTTTCGGAGAATTCCACTCCTCATCAGTAACCCTGAACACGAGTTACCAAAGAGAGATAAGCTGGACCTATGTCATAGTGAAAAGTATCAAACATATTATTGGTGTGAACGTGCTTTATAGTCACTATGAGAAAAACCTATATACTGGATAGGTGAAGTGAAGAAAAAGTGTCATTGGCCATTATTCAGTTCGTCACATTATGTAACCGCACAATAGCAGATATAATAAATAATAACCAAAGAGAGATTAGCTGGACCTATCTCGTAGTGAAAAGAATCAAACATACTGGTTAACTTGTGTTCAGGGTTACTGATGAGGAGTATTAAACTTGTATTACCCAGTAACACACGTTGATCAAAGTGTAGATTGAATTGAACACCCTTAAACTTAGTCTTCGAGATTAAACAATTTTCTGAATACTAAGTTTATATATTATCCAATGGTAGTGATAAGATAGTTTTATCTTGAGACACAAATATAATTTTTTCAAAATACACAATCAATCAATCACGGTATTCATCCCTAATAAAGTAAACTCCTTCACGTTCTCTTTACCTTCTACTTTGGTGATATACTTTTATCTTCCTCTGATCGTGAACTTATCTTTGTCTTAGTTTTATTGAGAGTTATTCTGAGTCCGTGGTCTTTATCAACAAGACTGTCACATAACCATTGTATCTCATCCTCATCTTGTATCATGAGCATGCCTACTATTGCACACTTTATTTCTTAAACCGGATCGCTTCTATATCAGTTAACCACTTCGCATACAAATGATATCATGTCGGTGATAGCAAACACACGCGCGAACATGCTTCTCGTACGCCTCTCTTAACCCAAAACCAACCGCCTAGTTCTTCGTCAGTTCATACTGTTGCTTCTTGACTCCATTATAAATTATTAGGATTCTGATATCTACTTGATCTACTCCAATATGCTGAAGAATATTTATTAGCTTCTCAGTGTTACTCCTGTTAAAGTCTATGAAGTATAAATAAATATTCCTTTGCACTTCTATGACTCTTTTCATGTAACATCCTAAGGTAGAACATGCACTCTCGCATGCCCCGACCTCTTCCAAAACCAATTTGCTCTTCTGACAACTCATTCCCAATCTTACGTTTAATTATAATGAGGATTACTTTTAGCAGTACTCTTAAGGTGTGACTGATCAAGCTGATATTTCTGTATTTCCGACACTCTATAGCCTTAGGCTTCTTGGGGGGATCAGTGCAAAAACAGGCTTTTAAAGTTTGTTGGTATTATGCCGTCCCTTCTCTTTAAACTCTGTTACAAATTGCCGTCAGATATTTAATCTCTAATATGCTCATTTCCTTTAAAAATTACGAAGTAATATCTCGGTTATGCCGCCAGGTTTTCCATTTCTTAAGCTTCCAATGGTTTCTTGTTCCCCTCTTTTTTTTTTAAGAGTTGCTGGTCCTTTGTTAATTCTTTCTACCAAAACTAGGGTTAGTTCCTCTTCCCCGATATCATTATATAATTCTCTCACATACTCCGCCCATTCGTCTTTAACATCCCCAATTTCAAAACGTATCTGATCGTATTTATTTTTGATGGCTTTACTTGGAAGACGGGGTTAGTTTTTTGATAAACTCTTTTATCCTTCTGCGCATTTCAAGCATGATATGAATTATCTCACATCTCTCAGTTCCCGCACATTTTTCGTTTCTATGCTCACCTGATTTTCTTATCTACTTTCCTATATTTCAGTCATCCTCTTTATAGTTATTTTGTTTCGTCCATCTTTTTAAAATTATTTTCATACATTGTCTTGTTTATTCTCATTCTTCTCTTTCCCATAATATTATTCCTGCTTTCTGTAACACTTTTTGAACTTGACCCACTGGTTTTCACAATTCTTCTTTGCAAGTTCTTATTTTATTAATATTTCATAGCTTTTTAGTCACTATTATAAAGTTCTTGGCTATGTCATTCCCCCCCCCCCTAAACTGTTCTAAGCCTCATTTGGCTCTGACTGAGATCTCTTTGTAACTTCCTCAGTTTTAGTCTTATTACTCCGATCACTGTTTAAACCCATTTTGACTTAATTAATTTAAGGAAAAGTAGTTGTTGATTTTGGTTTTACAACAAATGTTAACCAGTATATTTGATACTATGATATAGGTCCAGCTTATCTCTCTTTGGTTAACTTGGGTTCAGGGCAACTGATGAGGAGTATAACCCAATAACACACGTTGACCAAA